ACATCATGTATTAAGAGTCTATGAATAGGAACTTGTTAAACTAGTGGAGTTAGATAATGGATGTACCTGAAGTATAGTCACACGACTTGACTTTACCATCTCTGAGATCTTTCAGGTAGTCTGGGCAGCTTCGCAACCAATGTCCCTTCAATTGGCAATAGAAACATATGGACTCTTTAGGGTTAGCAAACAGAACTATCTTAGAACTATCATTTCTCTTTACCATACGATCAAACAGTTTGACCTTAGCCGATCCATTTCTATTAGGAAGAGAAATCTTTTCTGGGCCACCATTATTACCATCGTCAATGTCCATGGAAACTCTGGAATCAGACCCTTCAAGCACCTTTGCTTCGCTTGTGCTCTTAAGCATTTCTGCTTCAGCAACAATTAACATTTGGGCCAGATCATTTAGGGTCACGTCGAGGTCACTCATATAAAAGTTCTCAATGAATTGAGTATATGACTTAGGAAGCGAAAGTTGAACCAAATCAATGGTTTGTTCCCTTGGGAAAACGACACCCATTCTATCCAATTTATCAATGTACGATTTCATTTCCAGAACATGCATACACACTGAATTTCCATCTTGATGTTTACATGCCAATAGGGCTTGAGTGGTTTTATATCTTTCAACTCAAGGAAAACGTGACGTGAGGAGAGTCACTAGAAGAGGAGGAGGAGGAAGTGTTGAAGAAGTATGATGTCCAGTTCCACCATTTCCCGAAGAAGAGAAAACATTTTCACCTTGATCAGAAAGTGGAAGATCATATTCAGAAGAAAGAGGAAAACCATTTCCAAAAGAATCAGGAAGACCATTATTGTATTGGCTTGACATCTATAAAGGGAGAAAAGAGAATTCAAGTTAGTTGATTATAATCCTTAATTATTAACCCATAAATTTAAATTAAGGCTAGGATCCATATTTTCGATTCGAACTTTGAAGAGGGATGCCATAATCAAATTCGAATCTATCTTAGGTAGGTAAAGCCTTTACCAATTTCAATCTTATGAAACTCCTAGATCTTTTGAGATTCATTGAATCTGATCAATGGCATGTTTAATCTCAGATTATGCTTTCATTTTTGTGACTGGGATGCCAAGGATCACAAACAAGATGTGAATAACCATCCAAAATAGCTTAGCACTCTCGATGTCATTTATCATCTTGTTTTAATGTGCCGGTTAACCACATGCGCTCCATTAATCAATGATAATTTTCGAGACACCCATTACCACTCTTTACTAGTCCCTCACTAGTGTGGCGGTTAACCACACACGTTCCACTAACGACTTATAAATTGTAATGTGCAATTTTATGGATTAGCATACAAATTTACATTTTCCTAAAGTAACAAAGAGTGGGATTTTAAAAACAGTTTAGTTACTTTATTTCATTATACTTATTAATGAGATTATAGCCTATCAAATCCGTTCGGATAACGACTCTCCACCATACAGGAGAGCGGTGGGTGAGAGTGGACACTCATTCAATGACCATTTTATAGGCCGCTTCCTTATACCCTCTTTATAGCATGGTTTCGTGAATGAGACGTACTAGCTATTTGACTGACTTTTCTTATACGTATAATATATACTAAACTTTTAATTATATATACATAGTATAAAGTGTATTTTAAAACATTTTAAAATTGGAAGGGTTTAATATTTTAATAAATTAAACTTTTAATTTAATTAAATTTAAACCATTTTATGGATTTATTAATTATCTTTTAATTAATCATTTAAATTAATAATAAGATCCATAAGGATAATCTTAATCATATAAATTTATCATTATCTTATCTAGAATCATCTCCTAATATCTAGGGTTTTATTTAATTATCAAATATGACCAAAATTTGAATTATGACAGATTTTATAAAAAAATAATTACCAAATAACAACCAAATAAATCAAATTAGGCAAGAAAATCCGAAAATTCAGAAATATTGTGCTCACTTCGTGAGCATTGAGTCTCATGTCGTGAGACCAGTCTGACAGAAAACAAAATTTTGAATTTAATTGTGCTCATGCTGTGAGCATTAAATCTCATCTCGTGAGATCAGTCTGACAGGAAAAAAAATTGTTTTTGTTCAAGTTCAAGCAATATACATTCTATTGTTAGACAACCTATGCCCTGATACCACTGATGGGTTTTACATGTATTAACAATGATAAATCCTTAACACTTAAGGGTACATGAAACGTAAGGATCTATGTCATAACACTATTGAAGTAATATTCTATTGAACAACAAAAAACCATAAAACCTAGGCATTTTGCGAATTTAACAAACAAAGTAGGGTTTACTTATCTTTTAGTTATTGTAGTAAATAACTAATCAAAAAGCTTCTTGAAAAACTCTTGGAAGCAAGCACCACAAGTGTCGTGCCTCTAATGGTTAACACCCAAACCCTAGCAACCAAGGAACTTGAAGAGAGAGATGAGAGAGGTGGAAATTTAGGCCTAATTATCCCTTAGAAGTCATGGTTGAAATTTGTATCCTAAGGGTCCTATTATTTATAGTGTAACAAGGAAACCCTAGATAACCCTAAACGGAATAAAATAATATTATTTCCTTTTGGTAATTATCCAGTTTCCTAATTATCCTCCAAGGATAATTCTAGATCTTCTAGAACCCTATTAAAATCGTCCAAGGCATAGGAGGATTCTAGAATGCCTCTTGCTCAACTATTGAACAATTACACTTTAACCCCTGTACTTTTAATTAATCTAATTAATCCCAAAATTAATTCCAATTAATTTCTGATTAATTCTTAATTAAATATTACTATTTTTAATTAATATATTATTCTCATAATATAGTAACAAATCATTTATTTTGATTTCCAATTAATTTATTAATCATATAATAAATTAATAAAAGTGTCTCTCTCTAAAAGTTATCATATTCAATCACTTGGTTGGAGTGCAACCCAAAAGAACTGTGCTACTATCAATTCAAGTTTATATCAATTATAGTTATGGGCTTAGACACTCAATCCAACACGATATGCTGACAAAACATTAAACGAATCGGATTCTGGCGCCTACATTTGTAGTACATAGAAATATGTTAGTTGATCAACTGAAATATAAAAAAATGAAATTTAATAAGTGTAATATTCTTCGTAGAAGAATGTTACCTGATTGATGTTAATTTGTTTTCCAATTCAGCAATGATTGTATTATCACCATTGAACTTTGAGATTGCATAACGATCAACTTTGTTCTTCAAATTATCATGTGAAATTTGAATTTTGAACGCAAAATTTTTCATCCAAAAGTACATTCAAAGGAGATGGGTAAATCTCCAATTACCCTCCTAAAAAAGTGAACGGTTATAAAAATAGATTGACAAAAAGTAAAAATTAGTTTTATGTAAATGCAGTTAATATCGATAACCTCATAAAACTTTTGAAACAACTCTTGCACGGTTTTTTCCAGAAGTTTCTTTGCGTCACGATCAAATAACGTAAGTGACACCACACTGCTAAAGTCTTGTACTCTAATGATGATTTTGAAACTAAAACCATTGATGTAAACAAATTCAGTAATATAAAATTAACAAATTTAACCGAAGATTATAATAAAGTTTGTGATAATGATATGATGAATTCAAACAGTACAGAAAAGATGATTCATAATGAAGGGGAAATAATTTCCTGGACTTAGTTGAGCTATTAAACTTTTGTTGACAGGAACAGGAATGTTGGTATCCCAACTGCAATGAGTTGATCGGATGATGGAATTGAAAAAAAAAAACAGAGTTGGAAAGGTAATATATAAAAAATGATAAATCGCAAAAAGATGATACTCAGGAAATGATTTGTTGACGATTAATACAGCTGTAATCTTTATCAAGTTACCAAAAAATAGGTAATTATTGGTATGATTTTAGGAGATAAAGATGGAAATTCTTTAAATGTAAATTTATCTACCGATTTCTTAAGGTATTTTAGTTTATCTATTTAATCTTTGGATTTGTATGTAGATTTTTTAGGGAAAGCAACAACTAATAGGTAAGATATGATTTAATCTTTTAATTATGGAATATATATCTCGTTTGAGTTAACATTTACTTCTTTCATTAAATTAAATTTCTCATTAAACGGAGGTCAAAGGTTACGATTATTAAGCTTTTGATTTTATGAAATTTGATATAATCTCTATTATGAAAATTGAACGGGTGTTAAAGGTAACACTGTAACAATTGATGGAAAAAAAAGGTTTTACCAAAACTTTGGTACGTGATGTCAAAAAATGATCCAAGGATGAAAAATCTATGATCGAAATACAATCAATGATCTTGATTGTTTAAGATGATGTCATAACGTTTTTTTGTAATAATATTAAAGATTTGTTGTTTTAGTTGTTTTAATTTGTCAAGCTATATATGATTTTTAAATTTAGATTTACAAGAAGGATATAAAAGTCAATTGATAAAAACAAGAGTAAATTACTGAAATTGTCCCTGTGATTTGGTTAAAATTGCATATTTGGTCCCTAACTTTTATATTGCACTCGGATCATCCCTGTGGTTTGATTTTGTTACATTTTTCGTCCATGTGGTTTGGTCAAAATTGCACGTTTGATCCCTAACTTTATGTATGTAAGGGACGAAAAATGCAACAAAATCAAACCATAGGAACGATCCGAGTACAAAAAAAAACTTAGGGACCAAACGTGCAATTTTAACCAAACCATGACGATTTCAGTAATTTACTCTAAAAACAATTATATAATTTGACTATAACATGTTAAAAATAAAATTTGGATAAATTTGATAATTTAAAATTTTATAAATAGAAAACAAATTATTTGATTGGTCAAATATTATATTTTAATATTTAAGAAAGACGGTACTAATTTTTCCATACATAAATAAATAATAAAGAAATAAATAAAAACCCGTGATATTAAAAGAAGGGATACATTAAAAGATCACAATATAATACTAAAAAGTAAATAGATTTAGAAATCAATCAAACATGCAATAAGCATGTAACGAATTTATGTACATAAATAATCCAATCCACTTCCCAAAACAAATAACAAATGGTGGGAGTGGACAATCCAAATTCCAAACCTTCAAAACCCTAATCCGTATATGTATCTACCAAACCTACCAATAACTACCACAACCACATCCCTCGTATATCTTTTATCTACAAAACAACCCCTCCTTTTTCATAAACAATTCACTCCACTCCTCCTTTTTCTATAAAAATTCAAACCACCCCCTCATGTTTCAAAAACATTTCACTCCAACCCCCTTTTTTCTTTTTCTTTCAAGAATACGATTTCATCAACCCCAAATTATATAAATTCCTTCTCAACAAACTACCAAGTGAAACCAAAACAGCGCCTCCAAGACCACCTTCATCCCTCTCAATCTTTTTAAACATCAATGGCAGTTCCTTCACTCTCAAGCAACTCGACCCAATTCTTTCCCTAACAAAATCAATCACCTTCAAATCCACGGAATTACCAATTCCATCTGTAACATAAAATATATTATGAGCCACACCCATTGTTGTTGATATCTCACACTGTGTCACATTAATCGCATTTTCTCTAAAAGTTCGCATCACTTCAGCCAATAAGCCCGGTTTATCAGTTTTGCAGAGCTCAAGCTGTACACCTTCAGGAGCTCGTCTTTCAATGGCGGATCTCAAGCACATAATTACACGTTGCTTTTCTGGTTCAGAACTTATCGGGCTTCCATCTATATGTCTGATGAAGAATTCCTGAAACCCAATTAATAAAAATTAGAACTTTACAAAATTTTGAGAAAACCCCATTTTGAATTTTGAAGTGATCATTAGAAAAGATGAAGAAAGATTGAAAATTTACCAAATATGCGTCGTCTTCTCTGGTGTTGATAGTGGCATGAAAGACGACGTATTGCATGTCTGTTAAAGTGCAAACGACGTCGAATAAAAGCTTGGGTCGGTCTTTGCCTTGAATGTTGACAACGGAATATTCTTTTTCTGAGCAGTTTTGAACGGATACTAACGGAGAATAACGGCCGCTGGTGTTTATGATCGGAGTTCTTTCGTAATCACGATCTGCGAACATCATTTGGTGGAGTCTTCTTTCTGTGTGGGTGACTTCGATTGAGAATGAGGTTTTTGCGCTTCGTATGTCGTTGTCGCCTTTTAAGACGTTTTTCAAACGAGCTTCGATTCTGTTTATTTTTTGGGGTTCTTCAATTGGGGAACCGGAATCACAATCTTTTAGATGGATTATCGCTGCAATTCTGCCGTTGTGTGTCCATACTTTTGATTCGATGATGTCGCAGTTGAGCTCTGATAAAACTGCAAAAACTTCCGATAGAAGGCCGACTCTGTCTGTGCCTGTGAGTTCTAGGGCTGTCATTCCGTCAATCGACTTTGATTTTGTTCTGTTAACGGTTCCGAGAGATTGTTGAATGCAATTGATGATGCTTTCGTCTGTTAATTTGTTGCCATCCAAATTGGTGACATGGAAGACTGTAGATGATGATGAGATTGAAACTGTAATTAGTAACGAAAAGATGCAAACAGGAAAATCTGACAAAATGATTAAAGGATTTTGTTAATTGCAAAAGGTAAAGGTGGAATAGTAGATTACCATCCATGTTCCATCTTCCATCGGAGGAGACGTAACCTTTTTTGATGGAAAGGTTTAGATCTGTGAGGACTTGAACTGCTTCGAGAAGAATTCCGTCTTTCCTGACACTGTCAATCTGAAATCAAAGAAAAAAATGGCGTGAGTCAAACAAATTCGTTGAAAATATGAAAAATTCAAAGTTTGATCGAAGAAATAGAGAAGTTGGTCAACAAACTTTGAAACTTACCATGATGCGTGTTGCGTCCACACAACCGGCATTGTCAATCATGACCCTGGCAAAGAGATGTGAAACAGACGAATCAGAAAACGCGCAGACTGAAAGGAAATTCAAATTTTGAACTTGAACTTGAAAATTAGGGCAAAATAAGGAAATTTAGTATTGAAAAGTCACAAGTGGATTTTGAATGTAACTTCTGGATGAATTTGTTCTCAATATCTTGTAAAGTCAAGGAAATTCCGATCATTAGGTCTTAAAATATTATTAAACACAAGACTTAATTCTTGAAGGTGAGAATTTTTCGCTTTGATCTAAACCGAATCAACTTCAAAGTTCAAACCGACATGTTCAAAAAACTTACTCAGAAATCACAAATACAGAAAACAATGATGCGAAAACGAAGAACAAATTAACTTACCGAGGAGTGTTCATACGAACAACAAGCTTTTCATACTCTTCCAAAAACGGTCTCCGGTCCATTTGCATCATCTTCTCTTCTTCTTCAGGCGACGAAATTGACAGTAACTTATGGATCAGAAGCCTTTGCTTTGAAGTGGTTTTTTATGGAGGGAATGCGTTGAAGAGAGAAAGGAAACAAAACAAAAGAGTACAGCTAATAGAGAGCCCAAATTTGAAGAAATTGTTAGCTTTATCGACTAAATCGCCATGAAAGATCACCTCTCTCTTTGTCTCTCTAGAATTACAAAAAGAAGCACTGCAACACGCTTTTCGGTTAATTGTCTCCCTGTGGGTTTAAGTCTTATTTATATTGAAGGCAATAAGTTTCTTAAATAAGATGAAAAAGTAAATAAATTATAAATATATACGAAAAGGACACCAAGTGGATTTTGTAAAATCGTTCTTTAAATGACTTTATAAATATGAATATAGAAACTTTAGTCATATTGGAAAGATTTTTTAACCATGATTAAATGATTAGCTTTTCAATAAATAAGCTTGTTTATTAAATAAACAAAATACATAAAAATGACAAAAATATAATGGATTGATTGTAGTATGTCCTATTAAATATTTAAAAAAAAAAAAACTAAATTAAATTAAGTGATAAAATAAGGAATTTACTTTTTATTTATGATAAGTAATATTTGTATTAAAATATATTATAAATATAGAGTTAGAGTGTATGGCTATTAAAGTTGGAGATTATATTTGTTTGAAAATAGAAAGTATTTTATAAAATCTGAAATCTAAATAACGTTCAATTTAGAAAATTGTTTATTCGGGTGCCCGGGGACAACTGCCCGAAATTTGGCTTGATTTTCAATTTCTTTCTATATAAGTCAACTTGACACGTGTCAAAGAAATGGATGCCATGTAGGACCGTGATTGGGGCCCGCACGTGCTTCTTTGCTTGCCTTCAACTTCAAACCATGGGTAGCATTTTAAATGAAGCAACGGCAGGGGACTGCCACGTGGAAAATATTAATTTAAATTTAAATTTAATTAAAAATATTATAAAAAATAAGTAACGACCCGACGGCCACACTTTGACAACAACCGTCTGTAAATTGGATTTTCCGTTGTCTAAAATTAACGCCGGTTTTTGTTTTTGTTTTTGTTTATATATATATTTTTTAATTTGTAAAATTTTTATTGTTATATGAATCAACTAGGGTTTCTTGTATTTATGTTTGGAATATATGTGCTGGCCAATGAAATTTAATTAATTAACAGAATAAAGTTTTAATATGGAATATTCTGTTTTTAATGCGTTTAGTTGATTTTATAAGATCATTAATTCAATTCGTTTCTAATTTTAGCATGATCAAGTTAAGTAAGAATCATATGACAAGTTATTAAATACTTAAGATATGTTTAATTGCCAAATAAGTACAGAATATGATTTTGCAATAATACAATTGACAAGGATCTATGACATTAGCAGAATATAAGAAAAACGTGATATTCAATTATTCTAATTTTGGTGTTTTAGTATTTGCAACGTACTCTTTATTTTTAGTATTTTTCATATTATGAAAATTTTTTAAAACATTTCAGTTGTGACATATTTGTAGCTTTATTTTCAACTTTAATTTTATTAGATTATACTAAACTTACCAAATTATCAATTTCTAACTTGTTTCATAATAAATTTGTGTTACGCTAAATTTATGTTACATCAACCATAAGCTTATCATGAGTTGACGGACAGGTTGAGAATTGAAGTTGCATTGTGGACGAAAGTTGTAGATATATGCAGATTCAAGTAACATTGATAAAAAAAAATACATTTTGATATTTAGACCAAACATTTTCTAGTACAAGGAAAAAAAACCTATTCGGTAATTTTCGAATGTTGGGTATTAAGATGCAACCTCGACAAGATTACGAACAACGCTAAAGATGATTGAGTTGTTTGAAATTAAACAACGAACACAAAAAAGATTTAGTGTGGTTTATTTGATGAATGTGATCAAGCTACCTTCATAAACAAATTAGAGATTTTTTTTATTGATTTCAAGAGGTTATACAAAACCATATATTGTATTTACTATACTCATCATATCGGCCCACGTACTCTCGTATCGTTACCACACTATAGGGTTAGAAATAAATGAAATTTACTTATAATGGTGTTAACTTAAATGTTTGGGCCAGTTTATTTCAAATTTAATAGTCATCATGGTAAATTGGTCAAAGCTAAGTTATTTTTTAATGGTAGTGTATCCAAAATTGAAGCTATGAGATTCGAATTGAAGTTATGAGATTCGAAGTTCAGTCAATTTTATTTTGAAATGTTTGATAATATGCGATACCTATTAGACATTTTAATGGTTTTCCTGATATGTTCTATAACATTTTAATGGTTTTCCTTCAAGATATAAAATAATAAATATAAAACCAATTGATATAACTAGAGCTGACAATGGGTCTTACCAAACTTAACTTTCTATTTAAATATGTGGATATTTCTAACTCAAGCCAACATTTCAGATAAATGATTTGTCATCGGGTTGACTTATTTATGTAATTCTCAACCCAACCTATTAAATAAACAAATTAAACTCGGGTTAACTCATTTAAAATAAAAAAGTAAATAAATAAACTAAAGATTACACCACTTAAATTAGTTCCAAGTTAAAATAAACTCTCAAAGTATGATAAAAACACAATCCTAATTCATAAATACAAAGAAATTGTTCAAATAACATTAAATATATGTAATTTCGAAATGATTTTAAAGAGTGGCTAGTGTTGTCGGCGCCAAGAAAAATGATAGAAATTAGGATTGTATTTTTAAAAACATAAATAATAATACAACATTTGTAATTTATAAATTAATACTTAGACTACTACATGATAATATTTAAATAATTATTAAATTAAATATATATTAAAGTTAAATGGATTGGTGGGTTGATAACTTTTACCCAACTCAACCTATTTAATTAAATATGTTAGGCGGATTGACCCGTTTAATTTAAATGGGTTGAAAATCTCAACCTAACCAACTAATTTTAGGTTGTGTTCGGGTTAACTAATAACCAATAATATTATGTTATTGTAGATTTTCTTATCTATTGTTTCATGTTAATGTTGAATTTTACGTATATAAACTATCTTACTTTTTAATTGTTTGAAAAAATTAATAAATAACTTATCAAATATTTTCTATAAAAAATATTGACAAAATTGCAAAAACAGTCCCTGTGGTTGGCAAATTTATGTACTTTTGGTCCAAAACGAAATGTTGGTGCACCATTGGTCCAATTTTGAATACCTTGTGCGATTTTGGTCCCTATGATTGACATTTTTTGTGTGGTTTTGGTCCACACCCAACTTAAAAAGACGGATATGCCCTTATATTTCTTTTATTAATTTTCTTTTTAATTTCTTATTATTAAAAGAAAAAGAAATGACACCTACCCCACCCCTCGTACCCCACTCACTTATATTCTCTCTCTCTCTCTCTCTCACACACACACACACTCTCTCTCTCTCTCTCTCTCTCTCTCTCTCAGCAACACCATCACCGGTCACCCTACCACCTACTGAACCACCATCTGTTGGACCTCGACCTGCCGGACAACCATCTTTTCATTTCCAGATCTGCAAAACGAGACTGATGTCATCATAACACCCCTCTTCCACTACCTTCGTTCATCGTTGTCACCTCCCTTCACCGCCACCGAGTTCGACACTTTCACCCCTTATCATACATACCCTCACCGGCGACCATTATACCATCAGAACCTGCGGAAAACCATAGCCCTGCCGTTAGAAGACCACCAACACCACCTGTGGGATCTGCCATGGAAAGCCCCAAAAAAAATCCCACCTTCTTTCTCTCTGCTCTATCTCCGATCACCATCTATGAGACTGGAGGAGGTGGTGGCTCAACAATTGAGAATCTAGAAATCCAACCCATATTTCCATTTGAAACGAACCTTTCGATCAAGACCAAGTTCATCTCATCTATCTGAATCTAATCATCAACGAAACCATTTTGATCACCAAATCGACGCAGTGAAATTTGTACTACTGAGATTGACAACAAATTGAAAGCCATTAATCAAGATCTAAATGATTTCAACAAACATACATATGACAGATTCTAGAAAATGAAGAACACGATGGGAGGAAAAACAAAAATCTTAAAATCAGTATCCAGTGTGTTTGATGCTCAAATAATAACCATCTCCGACCACCATCATCTCTCTTCTCTGTTTTTCAACCATCTGTGTAAGAACAACGGTGGTGAAGGAGAGGTTTTTCAAATTTGAGCTTTTTAGATCTGAGGAGAGGTCTCATCGAGTTAAGGCCAAGGAGATATGGAGGTAACGGTAGGGAGATGAAGGTGGTTACTAGTGGATGGTTGTAGCGAACAGTGATGGCTGGAAAATGGTGATTCCTGTGTCGACTTCTCAGTCATCACCGTTGTCCCTTTCTTCCATCGGATCTATGGTACAGAACGAAGTCGTCACCGCTCCTTCCTCGATGTACGAACATGTAACATCCCAAAAATACAACCCAAAAATTTTTGTTTGAAAACTTTACTAAACCATAATATCAATTATTAAAAGATAAAACCATGAATCGCGTATCTCAAAATGTCATAATAAATTTATCAAATCGAAACTAGTGTCAAGATCATATCAAAATATCAGAGACTAACTCCCAGGCTAAAACTGTGGTGTGTGCCATGCCATCATCCCGAGCTCTTCCCTTTGCTAGCTGAAGTACCTGAAACCAAAACTGAAACTGTAAGCACGAAGCTTAGTGAGCTCCCCCAAACTACCACATACCATACAATAACATATAAAGCACATACTGGGCCTCGCCCACTGCATCGGACCGAAGTCCGGAACTGACTAGGGCCTTGCCCACTGCATCCGACCGAAGTCCGGAACTACTAGGGCCTTGCCCACTGCATCCGACCGAAGTCCGGAACTGACTAAGGCCTTGCCCACTGCATCGGACCGAAGTACGGAACTAACTAGGGCCTTGCCCACTGCATCGGACCGAAGTCAGGAACTACTAGGGCCTTGCCCACTGCATCAGACCGAAGTCCGGAACTAACTAGGGCATTGCCCACTGCATCGGACCGAAGTCCGGAACTAACTAAGGCATTGCCCACTGCATCGGACCGAAGTCCGGAACTGACTGAACATAGCATAACATAATCATAGCATATAATATGAACACATATACTGCATACTGCATCGGACCATATTCCAGAACACATAACACATACCATTCCTGTGTCACAAAGACACCAAGCATACTGAAC